TCCCATGGTAGCCGATGACCGACAATCGGTTCATGCGCTGGACATTCAGTTTTCGTCCTCTCAATATCATAAACAACATTGATGCGAGAAGTCAATGAGTAGGACTTCCCTGGTAATGGTTGTATGCTCATGTCCATGTGAGAGCATTTCGAGAGGGACAGCTGACTCTCTCCACTCTCAGCTGTACCACGGCGTTCAAAGGCCTTTTCGACATTATCAAACACTGTTACCTTCTATTTAAACTCTATACTTAATATACCTATATTTCAACTTATAGTCTTAATGTCTATATTTGAATCGTAGAATTATTGATTAGTAGTCAGTGTTGTTCCTTAAATTTACCGTGTTACTATTTACTCTTGTTCTCATGAAAAGATGTAATCATCTGTTAAAAAAATCAAGTAAGAGATTCATTACCTTACTACATGATTATGGTTATATACTATTACTAAGGAGTTTCAAATTAAGATGAAACAAAATCTAAATTAGTAAAAATTTATTTATTGTAAACCGTTTTTAGTTCAACATAAATAAAGTTTCTGAAGAAGCAACAGTTTATATCGAGTTACGAAACATTAGAAATACAATTTTTTTCTACTTATTAGAAATATCACAAGTAGTATAATCATTGTTAACTTTCTACCTAATCCTTAATAAATTTGACATGGATACTTTCATCTGTTACTTATCTCTTCTTTTTTTTTTCTTCTCTCTTTTAGATCAACATATTACGATTCAATAAATAAAATTTTAAAACATCCAGAAATTGAAAAACGTTTTCTTCATTTAGCAAATTTACTACATCAAGTATCCCATGGAACACAATAAGATTGTGTATACCAATGAATACCATGACGAATGAAAAAAATAGGTTCAATATAAGTAATAATAAGTATCCAATTTGAATGAATATATCAGAAAACAATATCTAGTTAATTTTGTAAATAAATGAAAAACAACATTGTGAGAATTCTGTTATTATTATTTATTTTCTTTTATTAATCACATTTCATCATTGTCATCATTATCATTAAGAGAGCTGATTATTGGACATTCTATTTGATCAAAGATTTGTTTTATATCTTATTGTTGTTGTCTAGACAGTTAAATACACTCACACACACATACATACATACACGCTTGAATCAAGTTTTCCGAACTAACAGAAAACAATAGAATAAAGACAGCAAAAATTGTGATTTCTTTCCTAGACAATATGATCTAATCACGAGGGTATTTATATGTTCAATCCCTCTCTATTTTTTTCTCTTGTTAATCTCCATTATTCACATGATTTACATGAAGTGCCTAAAAATACACATGTGTGTTTATGCTATACATGTTATAAGACAGTTGAATACTCATCCCTCCTCCATCTCCTACAAAAACTAATGATAAAACTGAATAGTTGTAGACATTCTCTTTTCTTTTTCCAACTTTTATCCTACATTAATTTTTACAATCTATTGATTATTGTTAATCTGATTATCATTATTCTGACTTTTGGCTTGTTTTCGTTTTGTTTTGTTTTGTTTTTTGTTTTGTTTTTAACTCCAAGTAAATTTTTATTTTGTTTTATTACAGAAGAATCAAAAGGACTCATTCAGTTACATAATCCTCATTTTTGTTTCGTTTAATATTTTATACTGGTGTTTTAGTACGATTCAATCAGTTTCATATTTTTCTCATGCTCAAACAGAATAAGTGAAATTGTAATAAAAAAATATATACACTTGCCTTGTTTTACTGTTTATCGAGAAAATATGTATTCAAACGTTGGTTACTTATAAGTAGTATAAAATATTGAGCAAAATTATAGTGAATTTTCATAAAGTGGTAATGGTGATCTTTCATAAAAAAATATGTATGAATATTAACGATTCCATAGATTGTCGTAATGCTTTGATTGTACTGAACATAACACGGGTGGAGACAACCGGATGAACTTAGCACAAAATTACAGAGTTACTTGGTAAAATAGAAAAACCATATAGTAAATCGTGGATTTGCAAATTATCAATCCATCATAACAACCTGGACTGTTCCGGTTGTAAACATCAATCCATTGTCTCACATTGCATTGTCCATGCATTTTCTTACAGATTACATTGTGTTCCCGCTCTTCCTTTCTTGATTGTTCCCCATGTACTGCCAGACATTACGTTTATTAACTCGCGTCATATACTACTTACATCAATATAAGTAGCACGCATCACATGACTAAATTTGATAGACTAATTAGAATAATAGCAAGTGTCAATCAGTTTTATAGATTATATCTTAGTAACGTATTCACACCTTTCAATTAGCAATTTCGTAGATTATGTAATTACATCCTGGTGTGTTGTTTTCTGATGAAGTCTCTCTACAGATTTGAAAAAGTCTTTTGGCTCTTATCAAGTGTCTTCACTTGTAATATAGACGAGTCGTTTGTCTTCGAAGTAAAGGTTGAGTATACTGAGCAACAGTGATGAGATAGTGAGCTTTCATCATCTGAAGTCGTTGTGACACGTTTTGCATATGGCCAACCAGCGCTCACCTTGACAAGGAATGCTTGTCAGTTTAGGAACCGATCTGAAGAGAGCTAGGAGTAGTCAGATCGAAATTCGACACCATTCTGTAGATTCATTGATTGTTGAACTAGGACATGTTGGCAGGAGCACTAGCTTGTTGGAATATTCTTGAATGTCATAATTATTGGTTGTAGGCGTCTCCTGTAAGTGAATAGGAGTATTTGCTCAGTCTATCCGTGGATTAGTACTATTATTAGCATCAACCATTCTAATTTATTCCACTTGTTCATTATTTCTCGTTTCGTATCGGTTATCAATACTTATAGTGTTACTAATTCTGATACTTTGGGATTCGCCATGACAACTGAATCTCTCTTTACTGTTATAATGTGGCGATTTGATCCGATACAGATAAATAGCAGGGCCTAAATTTCACATGACTCATCAACAAGCTGGGAAATTATAGATGGACGGATAGTCGAAGCACATGTTAGGGCTTTTGTATCTCGAAAAAACCTGGTTGTTAGAGATGAAAAACTAAATATAAGTTTTACACGATAACCTATATTTGGTTACCGAGCAATAAAAATCGCTATTTCTTTATATTTTACCAGATTCGTTTGAAACTTCTAATCTTAGTTAAATACATTTAGAATTATTGTACTTTGAATCAGTAAATTGTGGTAGCTCTATAGTCTGCTTATCAGTCATTGGTCGCAAATATGTGTCTTTGCATAACGTAATTTAGGTTGGTGATCTGATTAGCTTGTATTTAGTTTTATGGCCTAGTTTACCCAATCATTTTATCCACTCGTTTATTGTGTACATCGATCAGATCTATAACATAGTCCAATGTATTAAATCCTTTATTATTTTCTACCGTTATCACACTGACAATGCTGGAATGAAAATTGATCTATGCAATCATCCTACATTATTGTCGCATATCATATTATCAGTCAAAATAAGCATTTGAAAATGGTTAGTGGGTCATTTTGTGTAAATGTAATTGCAATTTATTAATATTTCGAAGAAAAATGTTCCCAGTGGTGGGAATTTTGAGCAATGAATAAATATTTTTACATTAAATTCCGTTCATTCTAATAATCCAACTTTGTCTATTATAAAGTTGAATAAATGTAAGGAAAATGTTTCAGATAAGTTAAATACTCACCACATTTCTTATGACATCAAAAACAAATGTTGCACTTAACAATAACTAGTTCATGTATGTCGAGCAGAATGTAAGAATGAATTAGGTATGAGGCAGTTTTTCAATATTGAATCTAGAAGGTATCACAATTGATTGATCACTGGGTGGTGATCAATGTCATGCTTGTCTAGTCCTTATTAGTGCAGATCGAATGCTATCGATCGTGTTGCAATGTGGCCACCAGTCTAGGTGACTCGACACTGCGGGCACTATGTATTGAGATTTAGATGGTGGTTGGAGGTAGTTCTACAATACACGAAAATTTATACAGTTTAAAAAATGTGAACCACTTAATGCGGGGTCAGTGGTCGAGAAGTTAAACATTTGACAATGAATTTGTGAAGGTTCAGAATTCGATCTTTAACAAGAGTATAAATGTAAATTGTTGAAGTGTCTTATAGAGGAATGAAACATTTATTCACTATTTTATTTATTTATACATTTTAACACATAGATACTGATACAAGGAGGTACCAAATACATATGCGCCACACAGATCTCATTTGATATATGTGATGGCTGTGATACTGCCCGGGTGCTCAAACCGAAGCAAGTGGTTTTCTTAGGGAACCACACCCTTCGACCTAAAGGTCTGAGCCACAAGGCAGTGGAGCATCGTAAGGAAATACATTCCCATGGTAGCCGGTGACCAACGATTAGTTCATACGCCATTTGTTCCTTCAGAATACTGGAGCCCATGTTCACCATTGGTTTGGAATCAGGGTTTTCCAACTCCTCTAGGTGGACTCTCCATGTCCACCAACCCGGTTAAAGCGCCGAACACCAGCTTTTCGTCCTCACAATTTCGTAAACAATACCACGAGAAAGCAGTGAGTAGGACTTCCCTGTCAGAGACTATATACGCGTGGCCATGTAATACGTTAAATAAGTGACATTGATTGTTAATTATTTCAATGATTCTAAATAAATATTTCTATACTCAAAAAAGAAACTATTGAACATGTCATAATATCGAGAAACGTTTATTCAATAGAATTTAGTTACTAGCAAGTAGTTAAAATTAAATTCTGTTAATGAATTGATTATAACACTGAAAGTTTTAACCAATCAGATTAAAGTGATTCAAAACATGAATAGGGCAAATTATAAGACAGACATCCAATGAACATACCCTACATGACAAATCACTTGTTTTTGTTTGTCAATACAATAAGGCCGAAACTTCTAGACGCTTATTGTCTATTTGTTCTTCACATGCATATATATGTGAAGAAAAGATAATACAATTTGTGGATAAAGTTTAAAAAGAACAAATGAATAAACGGTAAGTTTACTTTTATTTATCTTAATTATTGATAATTCATATAATAATAATATTACTAAGATATTCAGTTCTCATAGGATAGATAATAATAAGACAAAATCATATTGTTATACTAAGATGATCTTAGATCATTATGATCTTAAATGATCATAGATGATCTCAAAATAATCAATATTCAATTATACAAGATACTAGTAATTATTCAATGGGGATTATTTTTAAATACTGACAGAGATTAAAGAATATCTACAAGATCATAAGAATTAGGTCTATCATAATTAGAAAGATCCTCATAATTATGATAAATAGAATGATTTAAAATAAATATTAGAATGAACTATGATAATGATGCCTTGTGTACTTTGCACGAAATTTAAAGTGCATTGATAGATAAGTTTTATTTTAGATGGTGGTTGGAGGTAGTCAACAGGAAAAAATCTCAATACATAGTGTCCGCAGTGTCGAGTCACCTAGACTAGTGGCCACATTGCAACATGATCGATAGCATTCGATCTGCACTAATAAGGACTAGACAAGCATGACATTGATCACCACCCAGTGATCAATCAATTGTGAGATAAGTTGTATGTTATTATTAATGAAGTGAAAGTTGACAAGAATTGATTCTTACAATGCTTGCAATCAACTCCGCCTGGAGTCCCTCTGGGGGCTACTGCTGGTCCCAAGCCCGGATAAAGAAGAAGGGTTGGGCATGCGGTTAGCAACCCAATTCCGTAGAAAACTAACTCGCTAAAAAAACGATAATCAGAAAAAATTATTCAAAAAATACTTGTAATCAATTAGAACATCTATTATGCAATGAAAATGTGAATTTTAGGTGTTTAAGCTAAATTATAAATTATAATTGTTTCTAAGGTAGAGTATATTTGAAAGTCATTGATATGATTCAATGTATAGTCAAGAGTGTTTAGAAAAAAGATTAGATAGTATTCGCTCACTCTAAATCTCGATCCTAACTTCTTTACGTTTGTAAACAGAAGAGTAGGAATTCATTGCATTATTATTTATTAGTTTAGGATGAAAACCCTAACCCTAATTAATTGACCTTATTGAATATACCAACTTAACTCTTAATACCGAACCTTAAACGTTTTTACATTAGAACGAATATCATTTGGTGACGAAAACTATGTGAAGTGATCACCTTAAATCATAGCATAAACCTGGTTCCTAATATGCAAACTTAACCTTTCACAATTGATTGATCACTGAATGGTGACCAATGTCATGTGCCAACTCCTTACTTAGTGCAAATCGAATGCTATCGACCATGTTGCAATGTGACCACCAGTCTAAGTGACTCGACACCGCGTGCACTATATATTGAGATTATATGGCGGTTGGAGGTAGTCGACAGGAAACCCTAGATTCGAATTTCGTGCTACTTGGCACTCGTCAGCAAGGTGTACGTGTAATCTTGAGAGGACTGGTGCTGCCTAGTGGGTTCGATCCCGCGTCACCCAGCTTCACAGTCAGAGACGTTACCACTGAGCTATTCGGGCCGCAGAAATTAGTTTTTAAATGTGTATAAATACAATTTAATCCTGGATATTATGTCTAGATAGAAATACACTCAATATAAATGTCACCAAGTCTCTGAGTGACAATTGATACAATGCTGTAATACTCAATAATGATTAAGATTTAACGAATATAAGTCAAAATGACTTACTCGCCCCCCCCCCAAACACCTACAAATTGTACATATAGAGCTTTCTATATGATTTAACTTCTCTAGATGAAAAAGTGTAGAATATCTGAGTATTAATGTCAAAAACAGTTTGACATATTTGACCTTATATGATGATTTATTAAATAAGATTATTACATCATTTCTATAGTTTGTGATTTTATGTATACGAAGAACTGTACATCCACTATATTGATCTTTTTCCCCTATAAAGTTTATCGAATAATTTTAATGATGATGATTTCAATATTCACTTTCAACTTGTTTTTTCCATGTGTAGATAGTACTGACTGATTATTTGGATATATCCTAGATTCATTTAAATATGATACATAAGATTTATAGAGTAGACGAATTTAACGGTAGCTTTTCAATTGTATTAGGGGATTGTTAATTAGAGAGAAAGGAAGAGTGAAACTATGGACGACCTTCGAGCAATGCCAAAGTGACCTTGAAAGTGTCTACCTACTTAATAGTTAAATGAAGGTTATAAAGCAATTTGAAGAATGAAGACAATGATTTACAATTGATGGTAAGGGTTAGGATTTGGATCTATGGTTTTCACCACGAACTGACATAAGCTAAAATGTCAATACACTACTTAGAATGAGTTTTGTGGAGAATTTAGGAAATTTCACAGGTTGAAATCATGAGTCAATTGAAGCTAGACCACCATAGAAAACCTGGAAGCACTGGACGGCTGTTTCACCCTAGTATAGGACTCCTCAGCAGTGCGCAACCACGACCCCTCGCCACGCGGGGCTCGAACCCAGGACCTACTGGCTTCGCGCACGACCACTTAACCATTAGACCACTGAGCCGGCATCCAACGGTGTTAATGTCTAACTTCAACCAATCCACGAAGTTGCACTTTCGAACACCATTGTCTTCAGTGAGCTGATATCTCACAAAATCCAAGACCTGTTATCCTAAATCTGATTGGTCCTTCCATAAATTATAGTCTCGCTAAAGAAAGCATCAACTATTATTGTAGTAATTTTTACACTTGGCACTTGGCATCATATTTTCTAAACTTGAATGAATGTGAAAATCATGCCATATTTGTGTTAATGATACTAGATTGAAAAATCAATTAGATAAATCCCACCCTATACATGGTTAGGTTTTAAGTGTAACAATCAGGATTCAATATTAAGATATATCTCTTTCGAAGTAAAATTCTTTGTTATACTATGCGGTTCCATTCAGTTATTATCAAGTGCCTTACAATTGTTAAACCAGGTATGCAGCAAAAAAAAACCAATATTGTGTTGTAAGCTTTGTAACGAAAACTAGAGAGGTAATCTCTTCAGACCATATAGGTTCACAGAGTGTTAGAAGCAAGTAGATGATGACCTTGGTTGAATGAATGGTCATAATAGTCCTCTCACATTTGTTTCTCGCCTGAATTTTGGCTGTACATCATAAGATAATTCCATTTTCTGTCTGAAACTGATGTCATTTTCAGAACGAATCATTTCTATATTTGCAAAAGGTCGAACAAAATAGTTATACATTCTAAGTCTTATTAAACATATTCACTTGATATAAATATGATTAAACTATTGAATAACAAACGATCTAACTTCTTATTACTGATGAATAAAATCACCTAATCGAATGTGACAATTCAGAAAATGCTTCTACTTCAAATCTAAACGTTGTGTACTCAAACAACTGACTTTAAATCTTGGACATTTAATGAAATGTCATATGATTCACTGTCTACATTTAGTTTACGTGTTCAAGTAACATAAATTATAAATGATTAATAAAATGTTAGTTCATGTACAAAATCGATCGTTACAGGGACTATTGATTTTTAGAATAGGTTAGTAATAATAATAATAATAAGGCTTTCATATAATATGAAGAATAGTTTCAGTCAATCAGCCAGTCTGTCATAATCAACCTGGAGCTTGTCGTAAATATTCATTAGTTAACTTTCCCTATACGTATATACACGTTGAGATGGAATTAATAATAGTTGTAGCAATGTTTATGGAAAAAAACTCCACATTGAAAATATACTTCAAGGAGACAATGAAGAAGTATGTAATAAAATTCTTGATAAGGCATCATTGATGAGATTTAGTACATATCAAACTACTTTACCAACTTACTTTTATATTCATACAATACTGAGGGTGATGTTTTCTATTTGCAAGAGTTTGAGTCTCCCAATATCTGATGTTTGAAACTGAAACCGATCAGTCTTTATTGACACATGTTCAACCTGAGGGGACAGCCTCTTTATTGTTGTTCAGTTACAAGTTTTTGAATTGAGGCTAGTAACCGACAAGTTCTAAGTAAGAAGAAACGCTCATTAAAGATTTCAGATTTTAGCTATCATCCAGATATAATTTTAAAAAGTCTTTCTATTATTATTGGCTTTCTCACTTGATGTAAATTTTGATCTCTTTTGTCACTCAGTAAATCAAGTCACGAAGTCATCAATCGTAGTATCAATAATAAAATAGAATTAAAACGTGAATTGGGCTTATGGAGTGGTGTTTCTATTACGATTGGTACAATCATTGGATCCGGTGTATTTGTTACACCAAAAGGTGTATTAGAGAATAGTGGCCAAAGTCCTGGTATCTCTATCATAATATGGATTTTATGCGGTATCATCTCATTATTGGGTTCATTATGTTATGCTGAACTTGGTACTACGATAACTCATAGCGGTGGTGATTATATGTACATTAAAAAAGCATTTGGTAATTTACCGGCATTTCTACAATTATGGGTAAGACTATATATGTATACTTTGTTGAACAGTAGGAATGTTAACTGATTTTGATATATCAGAAAGAAGATTGAAATAATGTTAACTTCCAGGACTAATTCACGGATTATAATCATCATATATGTTCTTACGATATAACTATTAAGCAATTAGATTACTTTATCCATATATTCCGTTTATCATAAGCTTTCGGCTAATCTATAAACTACTATTATAGATATAGTAGAGGCTGTTTGCTGACTTTTGAACTCAAGGGTAAGGTAGTGAGAAAAGCTAGGGAGTTATGGACCAACAGGAATTTATCTATTGACTCAAGGTTAACAGTTCTAGTTGGCCATGTAATTGGCCAAATCAGAGACACTAAGTCATAGAGTAAATAGTGGACGCAAAATAGACCAAGGTAATGTCAGGGTTGTTGACTTGTCACCTGACATTGGGTAACGATTACAAGATATAATTAATTTCTTTTTTTGACAAGAACTCAGCAAATATGCAGATATAAGGATTTATGTATGATGACTTCAATCGGAGAATTCATTGTATTTCAGGACTCTTAGTTGATTGAGAGTCACATATACCTGTTTAACAATTTACAGATATCTAAAACAGATTATGATTATTCTAAACTCGTCTGTTTTTACTTTCAATGGAAACTCAGATGACATCATAGTTATGTGGTGATGTCAAGTTATCTAACTTTGGTAACTGTTAATGTAGAATACGTAGTATATGAATCGTTCGAAATGGGAATAAAATTGTTTATTAATGGTTAATTGAGGTTATCTTCACTGTTTTCATTGTTCACTGTGTTGAACTCAACTATTATGGGACAGTTTTCTGTTTACTTAGTGGGTGACTGTTGCCTGTTAGGATGTGCAGTTTTCACCAAAGATATATATATATATATATATATATATATATATATATATATATATTTCATACACATAGTTCCCTTTATCATTCTGAAAAGAGCAATGACAAAGATTCTAGCAGAATAGCATGAATTCATTTTATTTCGTCGGTTCTCGTCAGCTGCTTACAACCTGCGATATTTAAAAATCATTATTACATAATGGGTTTAAATTGCTAACTGAATATTGTAAATATATACCTAATGTGAGAGAATAATCTACATTAATTGTGACAACAGTTCAAAAGTGGGTTAGAAACAATCGATTACATAATGAATAACATTGAAGGAATGTAGTGAGTAGAGTTCAGTTGAAAGATTATTAATTTGAAAGATAGTTGAAAAAATAAGATAGAGTCAATGATGTAATGAATGCAAAAAAAGGAAAAATTTCTTTATGGTGCAGTGAAGGAATGTATTTATCACCAGGGCAAGGAAAGATTAACCACCGTCTCCTTTTGAATACATAGGTCAGGTTTTTGACGCCTGATGGCAATGGCTTCTGAAAACTTCAGAAGACTGGAGTTTGGCTGCTTACTAATCACCCTAAAGGATTGTAAGGTATCTACCTGATGTCCTGTATCAAGGAGATGTTTGGCGATTACACTGTTCAAAGTCTTTCTTTCCCTAAGACTTTTTGAAACATGTTCAAAGAATCTAAGATATGCTGTCCTTTCAGTTCGGCCGATGTAGCTGCTTTGGCAGGTATACGTAAATCTATAAATACAGTTGGCGGTAACCCGAAAGGGCTGCTTGTCGATCTTCGATTGGGTTATTGAACATGTTGTTTTATAGAGAATTAAAAGTTCTGGCTAGCGCTGTATGCAGTCTCTTGTTCATAATTTGTGCGACGTCATCAACTTTAAAGTTAAGATTTATATAAACTGGCTTTTTATTGACCATAGTTATTACCGTCTTCTTTTCCTTGGGCCTTTTATATCTGTCAATAAACTTTTAAGGATAAAAGTTTTCTGTTAGACATTTTTCTACGTTCATTAATTCTTCTTCCAGTTTGTCGGTGGTACATATCTTTTGTGCCCTGTAAAATAGTGTTTTAACCAACGCCTTCTTGTAACTAACTGGACAGAAACTATTGAAATTCAGGTAGAGGCCATTCCAATTACGTTTTCTATAAATTGAACGTTGGACTGTCCCGTCAAGAAAGTGGAACATGTCGTTCTGTTCGTGCTCCATAGTAAAATGTATGTTAGTATGAGCGTTATTGAAGAGTTTGATCAGGTGGATTTCATGTTGTTTACTATTACAGATGATAAATGTATCGTCCACAAATCTGGTGTATTCCGTTGTTTCACTAATTGCCTGTTTAAGTATCGTGTTTTCAAGATACCCCATAGAAATATCTGCCATAAATGAACCTAGTGGACTACCCATTGCTACATCATTGACTCTCTCTCTCTCTCTCTCTCTCTCTCTCTCTCTCTATATATATATATATATATATATATATATATATATATATATATATATATATATATATATATATATATATATATATATATATTATCGGGGATGTTGAGTTAAGCTACACTGAATATATCTATAACAAACAGTCAAGGCTGAGAGCCTTTAAAAAACACTACATTAACCTTCAGAATTCTACATATTTACGGGAGTTAGATGAGGGCTTTATACTAGTGTAAGGAATCAGGATTAAGATTAACAGCTGTAAATTAGGCTTAGAGAGTTAGATTTAGGGTTTTTATCACAAACTGTCATCAGTTTTAATCCCAAAATGCCGTTTAGCCATATGAATGAATGAATTTCGCGCCAAAATTCAAGAGCCGCTATCTTAAATCTGAATGGTTCATCCCTAAATTATAGTCTTGCCAAATGTCATATATATATCTGTTTGTTGAACAGGTGAATCTTGTGGTAATTCGACCAACATCCACTGCAATTTGTGCTTTCAGTTTTGCATATTACGCTCTCTATCCAATTTATTCAAACTGTGATCCACCACATCTACTTATTCTTATTTTTTCAATTTTATCTATAAGTAAGTTTAAAGTAATATATATGTCCTAAGATTATGCCTGAATACATTTGTTATGCATTATTTTACAACAGGACGAAACTTTAGAAGAGTCAGAACATTTAGAACTATTTTTTGGATTATTATTACCTGTATTTCTCTTGTATAATTGTCGTATTTTTGTATTCCCGTTATTGTAAGCTTCTAATGGACTTACTGTCAGTCATTATATGTTTTGTTATACTTTAGTTACTGCTTATTGATTAAATACTATTTGCTCCACCCTTTACCACTTTCGGCATGATCGTGTTTAAAACATAACTTCCTATTTGGAATGCTGTGTGATCAGGCATTTCAAATCTATTTCTGTATGAGTTTTGAGTCGTGACTGAATTGAGTACAATATAGAACTGGTTTACTTCCCATCATCGTCTTCTGTTTAGCTATTGGACTAGAAGGAGCTTGAGAACCATTAAGCGTTACGGTTTCATTGGTGTTCATTGATCAGTGTGTCACTTGATAAATAGGTCACCGATATTACTGCGGACGTAGGTAAATTAATCGATAATCAGAAGTTTTATTGGGAAATGTAGGAAGTGAAATCAGTTAGAATCTTTAGCTGTAATAAATCAACGTCCTCAAGATGCAACGCACTGTTTATTTACTCATGATTCTTTATAGTGTAAAGATTAATATGGTTATAAAAAATGACTTCACCATGTAATGACACCAAACGAGCAAACATTACAAACCAGTGAGGATTGGATGTTAGTTTGGGACTATTCATTTGTGTGTATCTACAACTTCACTGGTACTCTGAGTACAGGACCTTTAGACCAGAAAGGTTATAATATTCTTTTTGACTTCTAGTTACATTGAGGTTAACAGTTTTTACCTTCAAGAGTTAGACAAGCATCCACTGAGGACACAATAAGTAATAAATTGGTTAAAATTCAAGAAATATTTGTGAAAAACAGCCATCATCTCTGGTTTCTTTGAGAGATTCCTGGAATCAAATAACAAAATAAATTAATTCCCACAACACGAAAAAGACTTCTTGTACAGTTGTTGTGTTTGAAGGAGATATTTCTGCAGAGACACTGAAACCCGGCTTCTGAGTTCTCTAAGAAAGATCTGTTTAGATGAGCTTAGAATGTATCAAGAGTAAACTACCACTCTAAGACACGTCATTACGTATCTATCAGTTTGCGTCTTCTCATGTACCAGGTTGTATCGGTCGTACAAAGTGTGCTCATTCGAAGCGCATCAAATGACAGTGTCCTGTCTTTCTATCAAATGAAAAAAAAATGAATCAGCAGATGAAGTTTGAATTATACATCAGCTCTGGTCAAGAATAGCTTTACCAGAAGTATCCTATGAAATTTGTAGGTGTCATTACCAAGGTTTGATTTGATAATTTCGAATAAATTGAGCATTGGGTTGATTGTTACAAATATATTATTTTTATTTATCCTATGAAATTTCCCAAAATATTATATGAAACTAACAAAAATGAACATGGGTTAGGAACTTGTGGATAGTAGGGACTTTTATCAGTCACCAATTCAAGTCTGAACTTTATATTAAAAGTTACTTGTCCAGTCCTTTGTTTTACTACAGTCTTAATCCACCTCTTATTAGTAATTATTTGTTTATTGTAACATCTTATTAATACTATGATCAAGCAGAGAATCTGATAAGTCTTGCTAATTGAACGCTATATTCGGTTCCTAAGCTCTTCTAGTAACCCCCAAGTTAGAACTACACAGAGACTTGAACACGAAAGAAAAAGAGCAGAATATGTAAGAAACAAATTACTCTGAAGGTTACTTAATGTACAGAAAATATAAAGTTTTTATAGTATTTTAGATGTCTTTGGGTTTTCCCGAAAATTCTAGAATGCTACCAAACATAGTAGCAGTGTAGTAATCACCCGATCGGAAACTTGACATGTGACTTTCCAACTTCTAGATGTATCTGGCAAAACTTCTGGTGAACGCTAATTGGACAAGATGCTTCTCGGTGTTTTCAGAGCCTTTGTTGGCTTTTTTCGGGGAGTTTTCTGGATCTGCCCAATATCTCCCCCTTTTAAAAAATAAGACCTTTTCTTCGGGTTTACTTGTATTTTGACAACTGGTTTTCCGTGGAATTCGGACTTTCTTGGTATCCAGTACCTATGAGTGTCTGTTGGGGTTGCTGTCATTGGAGTATCTATAATTATCTCTAGCGGAAGCCTCACTCGACTATCTAGAGAGTCCTTTTTTCTCTGTGTGTTTGACTGATGTGTCTAATCCACGTTCCGAAAGTCCCACGCACTTTGTATAAAACATTTCCCATTCTCTTTTCAATGACTCCCAGTTCCCAACGATTTTTCCCAATGTATGACTTGACGAGCACTTTATCACCGACGTTAAAACCTAGGATATTCTAATTTTGTGAACTCATACACAACTTGTATTTAATACTTGAGATTTTCGTAATAACTTTCCTTGTTATGCAACACTTGTTCATTTTATTACAAAGTACTATATGTTATATAGTCTGCTACCGTATAACTTTAGTAAACTATATTTTTCAAAGAAAGACATTCTATTTTTGGTATGATGAAATTTTATATTTTTTAGTATGGGGAAATTTGTGGAGGTTGTAGGATTAAAATGCCATTGAAGAGTTAGAAGTACTGGATGATGATTTCATCCTAGTTTAGTGTTCCTCAATGGTGCTCATCCGCAACCCCACATCTGGGAATTAAGCCAGAGATTTTTGGTTTACGCGCAAACCCCCAAACTACTAATGCAGTATTCAATGGTTTGTGTGCTTCCACGTTTTCAATGGTGGTCTAGCTAAGATCACTTCGTGATTTAAAAAAACGAAATTTTATATTGTTCAAGGATATAAAGAAAATAAATAACCTGAAGGTTTCTTGACTAAAATCTGATCGATGTAGTCTAACAATAATTTATTTTGTATTATATCCAGCTAATCGATCATAATCGATGTAGAGACTGAAATAGATATCTCTTATGTCAAATTGTCATTGTCAGATTAGCACGATGAGATGAAGTTAAAAGGGTAAATAGCACAGGAATTAAAATAGTGTAGTAGAAATGATGATAAGAAAGACTTAATATTCAGAATGATGTTCGAAAAAACAGAATGAAGAATGCTTACTCTTAAGATCTAGAGAACGATAAAGATTACATGTATGTAATGAATTATTAGCAATGTCATCCAACATCTACACAAATATTCATCGGAGTTATCACACTGACTTGCTAACATTGATTCTGATCATTAGTCACTGACTTCATGGACGATTAATGTGTCATGATTTGGTTTGGTCATTCCCATCTAATAAACGTCTTACTTCATTTTGTTTTTCTATAGTTATTTGTCTACTTATCTTGTTTTTAAATTCCAGCATTCTTGACATGGATAAATATCATGAAAGTTCGTTGGGCTACAAGAATTCAGAATTTATTTACAGCAGCTAAATTATTAGCATTAACTGTCATTATTCTATCTGGTTTATATGTTGTATGTCAAGGTGAGTTATGGATTGGATTAATATAAGTCGTTTAATAAAATGTACTGTATATTGGGTTAATTTGAAAAATAAAAAAGTAACATGTAGATAAATTCTATGGTTTACATGATAGACTAAGTTTTAGTTAGAATACCATTGACGGCTGTTTTGTTCTATTATAGAACTCAGTGACGGTGATTAGCCTTAACTACGTCAGCGGTTAAACCAAGGACTTCTAAGTCTAGGAGTTCATACTTCTTCGATTTCGATAGTCATCTAACTAAGATCATCTCGTAATGTAAATCACAAAATTCAGCAACTTTCATAAGCCTCTTACATTAACTGTAAATAAATTGCTTAGGTATTTTTGAATAGAAGGATATGATAGTTTGTTATATTGACTCAGTGATTTGAAGGTAAGATGACTGTCCACCAAAACATGAAAGTTATGGGTTCCATCATGTGTGGATTATGAATTTGTATTATTAAGTAGTTTCAGCATAATACTGTACTTACTATTTATTAATATTTAAAAAAGCTTTCATATTTTAAGGTGGAAATCAGAATGAGTAAATTTTATTAATGGTAGGTTTTATCGTTGCTTTTGACTTTCTGTATTACTTATTACATTTTAAGTCTACAAAATTCAATTGAGTTAATCAAAGCTTCTCATTGTTAGTAGTTGCTCTTTATTCAAGGCTTTTCTTCAACTACGCTTTACAGTACTGACTGTTACGTCTATTTTTGAGAATAGAATTATTTCAAGTATCTATGCGCGTGACCGAAGGTTCTGGGTTCGAGTGACACGTGCGGGATCGTGGATGCACACTGCTGAGCAGTCTCACACTAAGACGAAACGGCCGTCCAGTGCCTTGAGGTTTCGAGTAACGGTCTAACACTGATCAGTTTATGGTCTCAATTGAAAAAAACTCATTAATCTCCACAATCGTATGCTGATAAGTGGAAAGTAGTTGAATCAAAGTTAAAACATTTTTAATATTTTGTAACGGAGTAGTAATACTATTGATTACTAGCGAGATTGTTGTCTAAGACATTTCATGAAAGCTATGTTACTTTTCATCCAAGATATATAGTTGAGAAGAGGAAGTTTCCTCAAGATAAATTAAAATGGTTAATTCGACTTTACAGGCAACCTTCAGCGATACCTAAACTAACCTTGAAAGAGTGGAAAATGAATTTTTAGTCAATCAGAATACAAATGATGTAAATCGTTGAATAGAAAAAACCAAACGAGGTTAGGTTTAGAATTTAGGGTTGAGATAAGGTTCTATATTTGGGATCTTAGGGTCAGATTTAGGTTTTGGATTAGGAATTACCAGTAATTATTAAGAATGATATGGATAAATACTTTGTAACAATATAGAGTTATACTTGTCCAGTTAGTTCCTTGATTCCAACTACAAAAAGACTTTTAAGTTACATTTAAAAATGTATAAATCTTGTTATGGTGTTACAAATATGTTAATTCTATGCTTTTTTTTGTTATTTTCCCTAAGAAACAGTAATCACTTCCTCGTTTTTACTTCATGGGTTAATCTAGTTCATCCTTATTCCTTAGTCGTTTCATGTTTATCAAGTTTAAGCATATTATTAGCTAAATTTCGATCGGTTTTACTTGTTCCCTATTGAGTCCTAGATGAAATACAAGCTTATGGAATAATATACTTATCCGTCAGTGTTTAGCAGATCCGATTTCAATGTTTAATGTATATCTAGTATCCAAGCATTTTGCCATTCATTCGATAATTGAATATTGCATATAAGAGCATACTTTTCACTGAAGATCTTATTTGAACCTTTGAATTACCATTTTTCTGATGTTTTAATCCGAAAAGTTAGGACGAGCTACAGTGGTGTTTCCACAGAAGATATGTGTTGATAACTTCATCTAATTAAAATGAAATCCTCAGTGGAGATTATATTCTTATTTGCAGTACTGACCATTACAACCTTTGTATTAGGACTAAATTTTAAAATTGACAAGACCAAATAGTGCAATATACATTGGCAATGTAAGCAGTTAAACAATGTTTACAATGCTTTTTTTTAAAATTGGTCAATTTTCTTCTAAGTCTTTTAAAAGTCATTTAAATAAATTGAATAAACAAAAGATTACATTTCCGACCGGGAACATGAATTGAACAATGTTAGATCACCATTGAAAACCTGGGAGCACTGGACGACCGTCTCGCCCCAGAGTGGGACTTCTCAGCAATGCACATTCACGATCCTACACTAAAGATTCAAACCCAGAATCATCGGTCTCGCGCGCGAACACTTAACCTCTGGATCAATGAGCTGGTATCCACTTGTGTTAATGTCTAACTTTCAACCAACCCACGGTACTGCGCAACCATCTTTTATTGTCTTCGATGGGTAACTGCCTTACACCAGACATGGAGTAGCTTCAATGGTCACTGCTTCTCACTAGAACTCCAAGAAATCCATTTTGAAGCTAGTCACTAGTGAGCACATGATAATTATCAGTATAAGGTTATTGAACTTTTGATTGAGATCATGATCATGATTACATTTTCTATGTATTTATCAAATTTATGAGATATTAAATGGTTAAACTTTCGTTATTACATCCTCATTAAGTATAGTAAGACAGCATTTATTAAAACATTAGTATTTACTTTTTGAATCAGTAAAATATTTGTCTAAATGTATATCTGTGTGTGTGTTGTGTACTTTTGTAGGTAGGCTAGAAAATTTCGAAGAATTTTGGCAACCTACTCGACCGATTAATCCATCACGTATTGCTCTTGCTTTCTATTCTGGTTTATTTGCTTATGCTGGCTGGTAAGTGCATTGAAATTTCTTGTAAAAGTAGTACAATAATAATAATTATTATTATAATCATAAAGGAAGTCATTGGGAAATTAAAGGTTCTTCACATAATATCTGTATGAATATATACGACGTCCAGCCTTTGTAGGTTTTGTTCTGACCTGAAGTTACCTTGTTAGCAAGGGGAGTGTGAGGGGAAGCGTCGGTCAGACAGAGAATATAGAAGAGAATAAAACAAGGGAAAAAGTGAGCCGACGACTCAATAGGCACATAGAATGCACTTATATTACAATTATAGAAGCAATCAATAACAATCATAAATAACACAAGCATGCGATTAAGACAATCTGAAAATCAAAACAAGGAGTTGGTAGCGAATAGTTTTGAATGCGTTATATATATTCATATGTAGGGGATGTGGATGGAGTGGATATTCCATGTTTACAATGTGATAAATATCTTTGGATAGTATCATTATATAGCAATCACAAAATGTATTGTACTGGACTCACTGAGGTTAGCAGTTGTTTTCTACAGTCTCATTCAGTTACGATATAAACTTCGCATAACTAACCAAATTTATTATGCACAGCATAAGATTGAAATATGTAGGAAGGTTTAATTGTTATATACTCAAATCATGGGTATACCTACATAGATTTTTTCTTCTGACTCAGACAATGACATGTAGACTGAGATGTTGTTTAAGTGTACCATCAACTTCTTCCGATATCATGCATGATTCATAATCTTCACATACTGTTTGACTTTGAGACATCATGTAAGCCGTCTGGCTCATAGGAAAGAAAATATATGGACTTTTGTAACTTATAATTAACAGTACGAGCGAATGAATTATAACTCAGTATTTTGAAGTTAACATATTCTCTACGAGAACTGAATATTCTTGAACTAAAAAGTCTTTTCTACTTCATTTACTTTGTTGAAAGGAGTGCTAGCTTGAAATGTGTAAGGATAACTATTCGTTTTCCTAAAATAGTGCTTGATTTTTCTTGAACAATTGTGGGAAGCTAGTATGCTTGAGACGAACAATGAACGATTTTACTGTATATATGATTGACTCGCTCTATACAAAGTACACAGTCAGTAAATAATTTAGTACACTTCAGCTCGATTGAAATCAAGAACATGACGTTCAGCTAACTACAACGTATGTTAATCAATAAATAAATAAATACAAAGAGTAGGAAAATATATATGACACGTCAGTTATCTATCTGACTATCTTTTAGCCTGTCTGTAATCAATAATCAAATACTGTCTACTGTCGCCTACAACACTTCCCTAGCGAAGTTTGTTCGTAAGACTTGTTTACTGTTCATCCTTGGGTTCATTTGAAAAATTCTCGTTTTTTTCGTTTCCTCATTAGCCTTAATTTCTTTCCATTACAAATTATAATAAACCATTCAATATTCTATATAATTACCTCAGTCGAAAAAGGTTTAACCTTGGATGACTCCCTACTACATTTTCTATCCCATTATTGATTTAAATGTCTGATAATAAGAGTATTATTTAAACTATCACTTCACACAATACTTTTCCATAACTCCCGTTTATTAAACCAAATCATATACGCATACCAAATCGCCCGTATTAAAATCACGAATTTTTAAAAAAAATTTCCCATATTTTCTAGTAGTTCATTAATTTTATTCTTAAATGATTGAACCATCTTCACATTAGATGGTGCCGGCATATTTATAACAGTGTATACTTTTTCTGGGTCAAGTCCATGTCTATGAGAATCGATATTAGCCCCCAAATATTGATTACTTAACATAAAGTATGAACACTTTTCTCTCTTAATACCAAAACCATACCCTCTAATGCGAACAAAAGCATCATGTAATTGGTTGTAGTGCTCTTTTCATTTCTACTAGCAGTAATAATATCATCCATATGTGCCATGTTAAAGGGTATATCGCTTGACATAGTTTAATTTGTTTATTCTGGTTGGCGTTTTTTAGCCAAGTTGTTTTCCACGGGATGGAATGCTGACCCTACACCCAACCCTCCTCTTTTATTCGGGTTTTGGACGAGCAGTAACCGTAGAAGAGTTATAGATAGAGTTATCGCTTAACATGGTAAACATAAATTGCTGACAAATTGATTGAGTACACTTACATCAAAAGGTAGCCTACTGTATTGAAACAATCCTCGATGTGTGTTTACAATTACACTCTCCTTATATCACTACCCGAAGATATGCATCCGATAAATGAATCTTTGATAATATAGTACAGCTATTCAGCTTACTAAAAATCCTCTGGTATATTAATGATCCTATGATGTATACCTTGTATACCATTGGATTCTTACTCAGGGATTTAAAGGTTAAGCGTTCTCCCGCAAGACTAAAATGTTCAGGGTTCAATTCACACATGAACCCATGAATATGAATTCCAGAAGAGCCCCATACTGGGACAATACATCAATCCAAAGTTTCTCGATTTTCACTGGTGATTTAACTAAGATCAATCCGTAATTTAAACTATAAAAGTATAATTTTATTAATAATTCTCAGCAAGAATATATATTAGGGAAGACCATAAGTGATTCTTAAAATAACTATGATTAATTTTAACTTATTGCTACCCATTCAGGAAAACAGTTATTGTCAATGAATAGTTTGTGAAAAAACAAAAACAATGATTGTTATGTCCGAGCGAAGATTAAATCACGAGTAACTTCTGAGACATATTAATTGACTAATATTATCTATACATTCTTATGGTATAGCTGTTCAATAATTAGATTATGTATATTTATATTCCTCTTATTATGAGCTTTATTTTGACCTATAATTTATTATTGTACGATTTACTGTTCTTAAATTATACTCAGTTTATTCATCACCGCCTCCCATGTTCACAGCCACTTTTTGGCTTTATTGTGTACAAATGTTATTTCCTATTTTATGGTGCGTTGCGGTCTATTTGGTTGATATATAAATCCAGTATGTTTGAAATAAAAGATTCGATTCGATTCGCATCGCATATTGGAAACTAGTATTGTTGTTCTGGTCTCAAATGGACGGGCTAGGCGGACATAGGATCAATAAGGATGCTAGACTGCCCATACCGGTCGAACGTCATTGGTTTGGCACAGTGGGAAGATTGTATAAGTCGTATTTTGATTGGTGGATAAATCACGTGATAAAAGCCAGACATAAAGTCATAACAATAATATTATAAAGGTTAATCACTAAATCTATTAAAGTTTTCTACATGTTAATCAATCTATAAAAAGACAACAATATATAAATTCATTTATATTGGTTATAGAGCATTTACTTATTTATTTATTTAAACACATAAACATTGGTCCAAGGAGGCACCAAATATACATTTGCCACATAAATCATTCGATCTGTTTGAGGGCTGAGATACTGTCCGGGTGTCCAAACAGAAGCAGGTGGTTTTCTTGGGGACCCACACCCCAAGCCTTTGACCCAAAAGTCTGGTTCACAAAGCAATGGAGCAACGTCAGGAGATGCGATCCCATGGTAACCGGTGACCAAGAATTGGTTCATATGCCATTTGCTTCCTTAAAATCCTGGAGCCTATGTACACTATTGGTTTGGAATGAGGGTTTATCAACTCCCCTATATGAATCCTCTGTATCCACCAACCCGGTTAAAGCTCCGAACATTTGGTCTTCGTCCTCTCAATTTCGTAAACAACAACCCCGCCGTGTGAAGACAGTGAGTAGGACTTCGCTGGCAGTGTTTAGTTACGATTAGATTTGATTTATATGCAATATACAATCTATATAGAAGGAGTTGTGAATCTTTTCTTTTTTACTCCAAACGGTAAAACATTTTACTTTATAATGACAGCAATAAAAATAAATTTTCTTTTTAACCTTAGATTTTCTGATGATTATATATAATGGCATTTCTACAACTTTTGTTTTTACATAATTTAAGATAAAAATTGCTTTGTTCTTGAATGTTCTACACAAAAATAAAACAAGTTAAATGTTTTCTTCTCACTTCTGTTTGGCGTGTTTCTTTGTCTTTCTCTTTCTTTCTCTCTCTCTCTCTCCCTGTCTCTGCCTCTCTCTCCTCCTATGCCAGATTTATATCATAATCAACCATATATAATTGATATATATGAGAATCATTGAATATAAAGTAAATTCTCTATCTTATCCATGATTTTATTAAAAAGATACATGGTTAGATAAGAAAGTTTATCAGTAGAACTTTCATAATAAACATTCTTAGTCATTTAATAATAAAATTGTTGTGACTATGAAACTGCTGATTATGGAGCGGAGCGTATTATCGACGGAACCAAAGACGCGTAAACACGTAAGAACGGCCTAGAATTCTGATTGGTCCCATTTCCCTGTCTAGCCCAGCCAGCTGAGTCCAGAACTCAAGTCTCAGCCTCTGAGATATGAATCATTATATTTCAAGCATACTGAGTTTATATACCAAACAAACCAACCACAACATACCAATAAAATATGAAACAACATTTGTACAAGAATTAGCCAGATGTGGCTGTGAATGTGGGAGGTAGCGATTAACAGATAGGGAATAATTCATGAATGGTAAATCGTATAATAATAGTTCATAGGTCAACACAAAACTCACAATAAGAGGGACATGAATATGAACAGTTTAGTTACATAACAATTATACGATAAAAATATACTCATAATATTGGTCCGTAAATAAATCCCAAAAATCACCATTCATTTATTCTTATCGGGATACAACAAAAATAAATAACTTGAAAGTAATCAAAAAGAGAATCATATTTAGATCAGGATCTATGCTGTATTTAATCTCAAAAACTCTATATATCGAAAAAAAAACAAGTTTATTTGTGAACAATTATATTTGAAATAAATTCAGCAATTAAAATGTTTCGTCTAGAAAACTTGTCTAGGCTTCTTCGGGATTATAAGTGAAGTTGAAATAATCAAGGAAATATTTTTGATTTTGATTATTACTCTGAAGAAGCTTAATCAAGTTTACTGGACGAAACATTGGAATCATTTTAAATTGAATTATTTGAAATATAATTTTCATATATAATGACTCCTCTATTTTACTAACATACTTGCGAATGTTACTCTCAATGGAGCATAGGTCGCCGACCAACATCCTCCAATCCAATCTCTCCTAGGCCTTCCTTTCTAGTTCTAGCCACTTGTTGTTCATTCTTCTCATATCTGTCTCCATTTCTTGGGGTAATATGTTCTTTCGTCTTTCTCTTCTCCTTTGACCTTGAGGATTGCAAGTAAGGGCTTGCCTTGTGACACAGTTGAGTGCTTTCCTCAATGTGTGTTCTATCCACTTCCAGTGCTTCTGCCTGATTTCTTCCTCCGTTTGAATTTGGTTTTTTCTCTCCCACAATAGAATGACTTCTCTATACTTAGTGCCTAATTTCTATCAAACTATTCTTTCTAATATTGACGAATATTCGTATAGAAGAGAAAAGTTTATTATAGTGATTGTGATACAGTCATATTCTGTCTTGTATTTTCTATTTTCTAATTATAATATCATATTGATAATTGTGTTTTTTGTGTTTTAAATAAACAAAGCACTTGAATACTACAAAATTGTTTAGAAAATAAAATGGTCCTTTTTTTTTACTAAAGTAAGAAATTTACTTACTATCTCATCTTCTTTTTTGTGTAATTTAGGAATTTTCTAAATATTATTACTGAAGAACTACAAAATCCTGAACAGTAAGTGAATAGTTCTATGATTTTGATGAGAAAAATATGTTTGTATTATGGTTGTTTCAATATTTTCACTTTGTGTTCTTAATCTGTTGTGTATTACTATAAGTAACTATTGGAAATATTATTACACGACTGTCTATCATTGTCTTCAGTGAATAATTGACTCTATAATAGACATGGTTGAATTCCACTGGTCACGGTTTTTCATTAGAACTATAGGAAATATCTCTTGAAATCAGTCATTAGTGAGTACATGAAGATTATAATCAAAATGGGGTTTTGTGGATATTGTAGTAATTTTTTAATATCAGAATGGGTTTTGTGGAGAGTTTTAGAAATTTCACAGGTTGAAATCATGAGTTAGTTGAAGCTAGACCACCATTGAAAACCTGGAAGCACTGGACGGCCGTTTCGTCCTGGTATGGGACTCGTCAGCAATGCGCATCCACGATCCCGCACCACGCCGGTCTGTTGTGAGATAACAACTCACTGAAGACAATGATGTACGGTGGCGCAACTTCGTGGATTGGTTAAAGTTAGACATTAAAACCATCGGGTGCCTGCTCAGTGGTCTAGTGGTTAAGTGCTCGCGCGCGAAGCCAGCAGGTCCTGGGTTTGAGCCCCACGTGGTGCGGGGTCGTGGATGAGCATTGCTGAGGAGTCCCATGCCAGGACGAAACGGCCGTCCAGTGCTTCCAGGTTTCCAATGGTGGTCTAGCTTCAAGTGACTCATGATTTCAACCTGTGAAATTTTTTAATAGTTGAATGCATGAGTCGATTAAAGCGATATCATCATGCAAAACCTGCAAGCATTAAGAGGTTGTTTCATCCTAGTATGGGACTCCTCAGCAGTGAGCTTCCACGATCCCGCACGCCTTACTAGATTTAATCGATTCATGAATTCAACTATTAAAAAATTACTACAATATCCACATACCCCATTCAGAAATATTATTGTAGGTTAATATTTATTACTACTCAATAGTTTACAAGCAGTTTAATCGAGAAGAAAAACAGAATACTTGAGCCTATATGTATGGCTGATATTTGCCATAAATAATTAATCATAGTTTATAGTACTATTAAGAAATTACATATGAAACAAGTGTTAAGTTGTAATATCATGGAGTCACCCTTTTTTATAAATGGTACTGTTGTAATTGGGTAGCTAACTGTTATATTTGTGTAGTCGTAGCTGTTACATACGTATAGACTCTGTTGAGTCCCGGATCTTACTGTTTTTATTTGACAATTAGGAACCACTGCAGTTTCTTGACCCAAGTGCTTATACCGAAAAACGGAAATCAGTACAATCCCACTATGTAAAGTAAGAACAAGGAAGATTGTTGTAATGAACATTTATTGACTCCCCAAAAACACGTCACCAAACGAAGTCCTAAAATCATATTCAAACCATATCATCATTTATATTACTAACTAATCTCGTTACTAATTTTAGCACGTTTTCAGAAGTCTCTAGAATATTAAAGTTAAGCATAAGCTCATAAATATCCTTGTTTTCTGTGCCCAAACCAACATTGGAAGCTATATACTTCTTCGTACTTTTCGGGGCTCAAGTCTAGGAGATTATGGAGGACTAGCAAGTATCAAGAAAGTTAGCTTCAAGCATTCAGGTACGAGACCTATCAGTTAACAACTTCTTAAAAACGAATAATATAAAGATGGTTGAGTGGCTCCACATTATTTTCTTCAAACTAGTGTATGTTCAGTCTGAATATAAACTAAAATTTCTGTAGAGAAATATATCAAATATGATTAGAAGTGGGATCTAATAGGGCATTTAATCGTATTCGCGACTCATCATTTCATCTTTTTTATATAAAGTTGTGACATAATAGTTATGGCTAGACAAAATTCAGTTCTGAACCAGTGAGACTAATTTATGAACGAACCAATCAGATTTCAGATAGCATGTCTTAGATTTTGGCACAAAATTCGATTTAGCTAAATATCATTTTGGCATTATAGCTTATGTCAGTTCGCGATGAAAACATCATGTCTTATTCTTAACCTTAACATTCAACTGTAAATCTTAATCCTAATTCCTCACACTAATCTATAACCCACATTTTACTTTAGTAAGTAGGTGGACACTCCAAGGTTATTTTAAACTCTGCTTAAAGTTCGTCCATAAATTATAATCTCACTATAATAGAAATACAAGTTACTAAAATTTATTTTAATAGGATTCTAAAAAGTAATCTGTTTAGATGGTTAGTTTTTATCTCTTATTTAGAGGATAATTTATTCTTCAATTTCTTGAATAACTGAATGAATTTAGAGTTGAAATGATCTTTAAAAACAAAAAAAAGGAGAGAAGAAAAGATCTAAATCCTTTTCGAAGAGAAAATTTATCAGTTTCATCATGTTTAAAGCATTTGAATAAACTTGTAATATCATCATTTAGATCTAAATGAACACATTTTTCTTTTAAATTATTGTTACTTTTGTGAATAATCAGTATAGGGGTTGCGGAGATTATTAAGCTTTTGATTGAGATCATGAACCGATTGATGTTAGACCACCGTCGAAATCTGGAAGCACTGGACGACCGTTTCGTCCTACTGTGGGACTCCGCAGAAGTGCTCATCCATGATCCCGACCGCGGGATTCGAACCAAGAGCCTTCAGTCTCGCGCACGAACGCTTAACCCACTGGACCACTGAGCCGGCATCCAATGGTGTTAGTGTCTAACATCAACCGATCCACAAAATTGAGCGATTATCTTCCATTGTACTGAGGTAGGTACCTGTCTCCGCCCGACGCGAATTAACTCCACTAGTCACGGCTTCTCACTAGAACTCCGAGAATTCCCTCACGAACCTAGTCACTAGTGAGCACATGTTGATTATTAGTATAGGGGTTGTGGAGATTATTAAGTTTTTGATTGAGATCATGAATCGATTGTGAATAAGCTGTCTCTAAATTTTATAAGTGAGAAAATGACTATTTTTGTTATGAAATGTGATCAGCTGAATAGATTATAGAGAATCAAAAACGATTGGAAATTTGTTTTATCCTAGTTTAGAACGTTTTAACAGTGAATACTTATGACACTACCAAAGATTAAATATGAAACTCTGAGGCCTTATATTGGTAGCGTTGACTTTGGATCACTGAGTTCAAGTATTCTTTTTTACAGTACTAACTTTTATCAATTTACAATAAAGTACGATCATTACCCATCTTCACATCAAATTAGTCCCCATAATATAAGGAATTAGATACCGACACATAGATCTAAATGTTAAGCATAAGTTACGATACCTACAGGTCATTGGTCCGACCTCTAGTAGGGCCGTGGATGAACACCGGTGAAGTTTCTCGTAGTAGGACGAAACAGCTACCTATTGTGTAATGCTTGAGATGTTAATCAATAATTCTCTTTCTAAGTTCATCAACCAGAATTCTGTGTATCATTTTTTCTACTCCATGTTTGCTATTCCATCTATAGCCTAGCATCTTTAGCCTTGATCAATGATGCGTTTTGATCGACATAATTATTACTAAGCTAATGTAAGCTTCATTTCTATTGGACCACCGAATTGTGCGCCTTCTTTTATCCACAATCCAGATTCTGAAAGAGAAGATTGCAGTTAAGCTTTTATTATTGTGTATTCCAAGCATACGTCCAGACAAACTGAACCACATTGCATCGTGAAATAGAAAATCTTGGTTCTATATAATACAGTCTAAAACTTTTAGTGAACCGGTCAATCAGTGGATGACTGATTATCAATAAATTAAGAATAATAAAGCACATTGTAATAGTTAATGAGTCAAACGAGAGCTCACAACAAACGGAATGTAACGAAAAACGTGGTAGTCCAGTTATTTAACAATTATACAGTTCATGAAGTACTTTTGAAAGTTATCATTGCTTTAATCTTTATTCTGAAATATCATACTGTTTCTTAATTTTAAAGAGTTATCTATCTGAGGTTATCCCATGATTTAAATAATAAATCAGAAGGGGTTTTGTGAATATTTTAGTAATTGCAATAGTTGAGTCAATTAAAGCTAGACCACCATGGAAAACCTGAAAGCACTGGACGACCGTTTCATTCTAGTATGGGACTCCCAAGCAGCGCGCATCCATCTTTCCGCCTCCCTCGAGATTCTAACCCAGGACCTATCAGTCTCGCGTGCGAGCGCTTGAACTCTAGACAACTGAGCTGGCCGACATCCAACGGTATTAATGTCTAACTCCAACCAATCCACGAAATTGCGCCACCGTACACCATTGTCTTCAGTGAGCTTATATCTCACAACAGACCTGGTTGAACTCCATTGATAACGACTTCTCACTAAAACTCCAGGGGTATCTCCTGAAGTCAGTCACTAGTGAGCAGATGATAATAATAAATAATAAATCTTAGAAATATATTTTAAAAATTTAATAATTTTTAGTTATCAAATTGTTGAGAGAAAATAAACCAACAAATACAAAGTTAAAGCTATTAGTCCCACTAGATCAATTTCGATAGTGTAATAAAAAGACGAAGATTATCAGAACTAATATGATGATATATTAGTGCAATACATTTCGAACAATCTGATCCCATATAATGTAATTGTCAAGAACATTTATATATAAAAATAAATGATCAACTACACTAGAAAAGAAGAGTAAGAAGAGACAAGGATGATAAAGAAATAATGTGAGAACAATTTGAAACCTCATCACTCTAAATAATACGCTAATATTAAAAGGGTATTATAAGCAAAGATGAATAGTGGCTAGCAGTGGAATCAAGTTTGACACGCGTTTCATCCTATTTGGGACTCGTCAGCTGGATGTACCTGCATCTCCGAGTTGATATCCACCCTAGGACTCGAACCCAGTACCATTCGCTTCAAATGCCATCGCATTATCAATTTAGCGACTGAGTCCTGATAGCCATTCACTTGTGTAATGGGGTGAAGGTTCAAATAAACAATACCAAATGAATTATTAGGGTATGCTTAAGGTGAGAATCAACTGATTTTGAATACACAATCAGGGTTTGAATTTTCATATGGCTAAAGTTTCAATAAACCATAGTATATGCCATTTTACACTTTTGTACAATACTACAAAAGCCGAGTTAAGATCAATCTTATGAAATGTTTCAATTATGTGTTATATATTATTCTTATTCTATTTTATTTTTTGTTTTTACTTAGAAATTTACCACGATCTATTTATATTAGTATTACAATAGTGACATTTGTTTATGTATTAACAAATATGGCATATTTCATTGTACTTCTACCATATGAAATTATTCAATCGAATGCAGTAGCTGTGGTATGATATCAATGTGTTGTTTTATTCTTTTATTTTAAAAAAATATATTAATATTTGATATTATTGAGTTAAAATGTTACATTGATATAAGTGATAGAATTGAAATGTCAACATAGAACTGAGTCTACAAATTAGATTGTGTTGATTATGATGCCTTCTATATTGGAGAGTTATCTGGCGAAATCTTGACTCACACCAAAGAACTTATTAGGTACACACAAGAAAAACCTCCTAATAATCCTGTAGAACTTGATAGACTTCAAATGGAATCAGCAATAGCAGTTTAGATCATTTTCAATGATCACCAAATCAACGTTAAAAATATCAAAATATTATAAAAAGGCTTTTTCAATGACAAAGAAAGGAGAATAGCTGAAACATTCAATATAATACTTCATCCTACTGCTCTCAATAGAAAAGAAGGTCTTACCATACATCCTACATGGACTATCTGTCCTAGCCACATTGTCCTATATTATTCACAATTCACACTATTATCATACAAATTAAACTCTATCCTTTCTCACTATAAAGGTCACACTCTTAACAGTGCACAAATTTACATACATGTCGCTTATGAATCACCTTGACCGAAATGACGTGACATTGATTTATTCAGATCTGTTTTTCGATTGATCATATAATATCCTTGTTGTTCCGTTTGTACTATTTAAACTCGGATTAATTTTGATTTGGTTATTTATTTATACTCTGAAGAAGTGGCTTACACTAAGTCACAAAACGTCAGAACATCTAATTTTTCTACTCATTGAGATATTACAACTATATTACTTACTTATTTATAATAGAATTGAGATAAGAATTTCCTTAGTCATATTGTTTATTTAATTAGGAGTTTTATCACCTTTCTATACAGATCAATGAAGGAGCACAAAGTTATGAATTTTGTTTATAAGATTGTTTAAATTCAAATTATTATGTCAAGAGATGTTCGAGACTAGTACAGATATGAAAATTTTCTATATGCGATCCTTCAACTGGATAATGAGTGAGACGACTGCAAATCAAGGAGGAATTTTGTTGGGCTAGACCGATTCAAATACATAAGCATGTATATATATATATATATATATATATATATATATATATATATATATATATATATATATATATATATATATATATATATATATATATATATATATATATATAATCGTTAGAAAATAAAACAATCTTTTGGCCAATCACATGTACTTAACATGACGAGATTTCTGATTTACAAAACATGGCCTTCTTATTTGACGATTTCTGATTAGCCCACTGAATCAAAAATTCAAGTCCATTAGGAGTACGTAAGTAATCCAGAATATCTGGTGTATAAAATAACAACATACAAACAGATGCTTTATAGACTTTGAAATATGGTACTTTGATGATGAAACATCAAATCCCATTCACTAATAATGGCATTGAAATAATAAAAAGAAATATCATTCAACAATAAACCAGTTGATCTTTCAGACAAACTTGGTACAGATTGACAAAAAAAAATTAATCGTGATGATAATCAACTCTTATGTAACTATTGTCAACTTTCTGTTGTTTACTATTTCCTCATGGGATTAGCGACCCCATCCCGTAGAAAACTAACTCGCTAAAAAAACACTAACTGTTCGCAAATTTAAACTTAGGAAATGACGATCCTTGTTCCTTTAAATTGTGATTTTTGAATACACCTTAAAACTTTTATATTCTCTTCCCTTGTTAAACCAAAAATAATGATCTTATTAGTTGTTATATGGTGTGTTGTAAACATTAAATCCAATCGCTTGTTTTTCTGTGTGAAGTCACTAAAATAACTTACTTCTGTTTCATCCTACAAGTAATTGAGTATTCTAAAAAGGAGATTAGGTGAAAGATCCAATGTAACAACCAAAGAAACGAACTTGAAATGTTTATCAAATTGTTGTTAATCAGCATCAGCATAGACTGTCAGCAGTAAGCACGATAAGTTTTCTAGAAAGTTAATCAAACGATAATTTATATGATGGTTTTAAGTAGCTTATGAGATTTTTAAGATTTACGATCGTGAAAGACCCCAGAGATATAGAAAATCCCTGGTAACATTTTATCCAGTCACCACTGAATAGAAGCTTCTCAGCAACATTTAGAAAATGAAAGATAACGTGTCATGTCTTTGATTGGACGATTAACTTAACTGTTAATATGTTTCTAAAAGTCTTTGAAGACTAAGGTTACACGAAACTCGATAAGTCCACTCAATTTTCTGTGTATACACTAACCTTGGAGTAAAACTGTTGTTCATATTTCTCTCCTTTTACTCTGTTATTCAAGTTGACTTGTAAAAATAGTTTTTGATTATAGCAAGTAACTGGTAAGTCAGTAGTAAGCGTTCCAGTAACAGATTCGTCAGTTTTTATCTTGAAATAGATTGTGTTTTGCTACAAAAGACCTATTCATTAGAGAGATTAATATATGCAAGGATGGTTAATCGAGTTTATAAATAGTCTTAGAAACTACTTCTCGTAGTGTTTTTTTTCAAACAACATTTACGTACGGTGTTATGTCCTGACAAGAATAATGAATGGCAACTTTTGGGATCTATAGATGGACCAATACTGAACGTATATTTCTATTGTATAATTATTAAGTAACTAAACTATGCATATTCATATTCCTCTTATTATAAGCTTTATTTTGACCCATAAACTATTATTATACCTTTTACCGTTCTTGAGTTATACTCAGTAAATTAATTACTACCTCCCTCATTCACAGCCACATCTGGCTAATTTTGTACAAATGTTATTTTTTATTTTATGCTACATTGTGGTTTGTCTGATTGGTATATAAACTCAGTATGTTTGAAAGATAATGATTCGTGTTGCAGAGGCTGAGACTGGTGTTCTGGACTTAACTAGCTAGGCTAGGCGGAAAGCAGGACCAGTCAGGACACTGGGCTGCTCGCACGTGTTTTACGCGTCCTTGGTCCAATCGATAATTCACTGCTCCCTAATTGGTGGTCACAAGTTATAACATACAGATTCCTTGAAAAGCTGATGAAACAATTTGTACACACACACATGCTTTAAATTGGAGTTTATATAATTTATATTTTAAAAAGTGTCTATATCCAAGTGTTTTCTTGTTTCCATACTTTATTTTCTCCACTAAGTAGTGAATAATTCACATATTAAACTTTTTCATATCATAAACGTTTCGATTATAGTATGTAGGGACTTTGTACAAATCTCTTTATAGATTGAAAGTGTTGAGGTTCAATTCAAATACAATGTGTGCTTTCCACATTCGATTAAATCCACTATTCAAATAAGAAGACTAAAGTGATGATAAAAAGGTGTAATTATCAAAACTGAATTATACTTTAGGCAAATTATAATTCTATATACATTTGTTCAGATGATTTAAACAAGGATATATAGGCTATGAATATATTAGAGAGCTATTTGTTGTCAGTTTTTGCCAAAAAAACGAAGCTAAAAATCGATCTTAATTCTGCTTAACCGATTGATCAGTAATTATAATGATTGTTTTATTAGGAATCATATTAGTTTAATGAATTACACAAGATTTTTTCAGAGAATAGTTTACATAGAAACCAAAAACACAATAAAACTTATCCCCTGTTCATATAGATTGTTTTTATACTGAAGTATCAACAGAATACAAAACAAATGAGGGAACATGTAATTATTTCGAACATAATAAATCACTCGATCACAGACATATTGTAGGGAAGGAGAATACAGGTGAGGACAACCGAATTATATTAAGCACATTACAGAGTTACTTGGTAAAATAGAAAAACCATACTATAATACTTAATTTGCAAAGTGTTCAACAATTGTCTCGAACTTCGTTGTTCTTGCATTTCCATACTAATTGCTTTCTATTCCCACTCTTCCTTTCTTGATCTTCCCCATCTTCTGCTGCCAGATATTACATCCTTGACTCGCGTCATATACTACTTATATCAATATAAGTAGCATGAACCACAATACATTCGACCATTTAATCAAGAATTGGATTGTTAATATCCAAAAAAACGTTTTGATGTAAATACAAAGTTGAATGAAGTCTCTTGCAATATTTAAATTAGTCAACTATATTTGAAGTATGAAGTGTATGTTCGTCTTCATTCATTAGTAAATCAAAGCTAAGGTGCTTTGGAAACACCTGCGTAAAACTGCGAGTTATTAAGATGTATAAAACTACTGTATACTAACTAACAAGTAGTATATGTTATCGTAATCCTGTTTTTTCTTTTTTTTTTTTTTTGTTATATAAATACTTTCAAGACATTTGCTGATCGTTTATACGGAAAATTCTCATGGATAATGTCAATATTCATTTCATTATCATGTTTTGGTGGTTTAAATGGAATTTTATTCACATCAGGCAGGTTAGTTGTTCTAATAAATCAAATTAGTAATGAAACTATCCATGGTCCAACTTTAAGTGAAAAAGACACTTTCTCTTTTAGAATTGTAATATAGAGTGAATCTTCATTGTAGCGGTTGTTTGAATCTTCCCAATAATGTTTAGGACTTCAGTTGATCAGTCACTTATTGGCATATGTATATCCTTTGCGGATTGCCTTAAATCACAAGCATTATAAACGGAGATGAATGGTGGCGATTAGCGAACTTAGAAGTCACTTTTCGTCCTATTTGGCACTTATCAGCAGGATGAGTCTTCTTAATAATTAACAAATGCTCATTTAGTACCCGTCTACTTTGTATTCGGTCTCTAGGAGATAACATGTACATCTAGATGTCATTTAGGGAATGAATCATGTGTATCTTCATGGAAAGTACAAAACACATGCTTTCAAGTAAACTTTAACCATGGTAACGGGGATTTATAAAAAGCAACCAAAACGGAACGAGTAAGTTGTTTAAGCTTATAGAACGTGGATCAAAACAAAGTGTTATTTGTAGAGCGTAGATGATTAGTTTTAATGACAAAAAGATCATTATTTACTTAAGATTGATGTTAGGAATAGGATTTGAGACTTAAGATGTAGAGTTTAGGTTGAGAATGTAGGATTTTAAACTTATGAAGTGTGTGCCTTTAAGCTAATCATAAAACATAACTCTTGGAGGAGTCCTGATAATATCCCTCATCAAAATATTCATAGGAGCATGGAAATTAAAGGAAACAATTTATCAAGTCAGTGTTGAATAGAATCTACACAGAAACGTCTATAAACTACAATATCATATACCATTGTTTCGACTGGGCATTAACCTACACTGCTACCATATTTATTATGCTCCGAAAATTCCAAGAAACATAAGATCGAGTACAAGTTTTTAAATATTCTCGTTTTCCTGTACACAAACTGAACCTTTAAGTAAAGCGTTGATTCCATACTTCTCATCTCTTCTTCTATATATAGATTACCGCACAGATTAGGTCCTTGATTATTAGCAAGCGACTAGGAAAATGTATCCTGTGTTCATTTTTAGCAGACTTATCAGTAATTATTTTATTTATTTTAACACATAAATATCGGTACAACAGGGCACCAAGTATATATGCGCCACACCATATTTGTGTGTGTAGGCTGTGATACTGCCCGGGTGCCCAGACCGAAGCAGGTGGTTTTCATAGGGAACCACACCCCGAGCCTTTGATCTAAAGGTCTGACTAACAAGGCAGTGAAGCATCGTGAGGAGATGCATTGTCATGGTGGCCGGTGACCAACGATTGGTTCATACGCCATTTGTTCCCTCAGGATACTGGAGCCCATGTACACCATTGGTTTGGGATCCGGTTAAAGCGCCGGACATTCGCTTTTCTCTCTTCGTCCTCTCATTTTCGTAAACAACACCCCTGCCACGAGAAGGCAGTGAGTAGGACTTCCCTGGCAGAGACTATATACGCGTGGCCGTGTGAGAGCATTTGGAGAGGGAGGGCGGGCCCACGCCACTCTCGGCCATACCAGGGTATTTGGGGGCACTTATCAGTAATCCATGTCTTAAATCTTAACTTTCATAATCCGAAAATTAAGGCCTATTTAAGTTGCATGAAATTCTAGGTTCTTCGGAATGATTTATCACAATCCCGTTATTTTTGTAAATACGACAATGATCCAGGTGTTGGACCTGTTCATTCCAAAGCTTCATTTCTAATTCGTCTACTCTTTATCATATGATTTATACTACTAAATATTAGTAAGTAGTACATATGCATTACAAAGGTTTTATAATTCTTGGTTCCAGCTTTTCATTAAACCTGTTGTTTAACTACTATTTTATTTGTCTTTGTATTTCATCCTCTTCATAGTAAATTTGTTTGCCAATATTTGTAACTGATTTCATTATTTTTGTCTGACTTGCCTACATCGAATTTTGAATTAAAGCCTCAAATGCACTTGCTTTCTATTCGGTGATATTTTCCGTAGATTGTAAATCGTGTCATAGAACCCCATACTTTAAGACAAACTCAGTCTTTTTAAACTTACCTCAATCGTTGGACTGGATTCCATACTCAGAATCAATGTTGAATGGCCGAATTTGAATTGTTACACATACTCGCACACACGGATACATTGGTGTAGTAGCAACCTGTATAATGGTTACCTTAATTCAGAAATATCTCAAGTGGTTAAAATTGAGTACCAGTAGTAGGTAGTGTCACGTAAACCATATGGTAGAGACAGAATTTTATTTTGCTTCTCCTTGGTTATCAGAAACTTAAATTTCTGTGAATCTTCAGCAAAAAAATCAAAAATTTATTAATCGTTCAGTTATTCCTTAATGAGTATAACTTGAACGAATTAACATAATAAGTTGTGTAGTATATTCTATATTTAAATTAAAAATAAACTTCCACCTCGAACTGACATCAACTTCATAATTAATAAAAGTCATGAATTACCGGAAGACTATCTACCTTTATTATAGAACCTTTCAGAGTTGCATTTTTATCAATTTATGCTTGAATAGGGAAACATTACTTAATAATTCAAGTAGGTTACAATCGAGAATCGATATCATCTGATGACATTTAGATGATTACTCTAGTATATAACCCGAAGTGGTGATGTTTGACATTCAGTCGAAAAACCACGGGTTCGATCCCTTACTTCAACTACTTCGGTTGAGGTATCCAGGTTGAATAAATAGCCCTCATATTAAAAGTTTAACTTTAACCCAAGCATACATATATACATCCCGTAATGAGTTCACGATAATAATAATAATAATAATAATAATAATGTCTTGAAGTGGCTACATTTTGGAGAAGAAAACAAACAATTCTTACCAAGAGATTAAATATTAAGTTGTTTTCTGGGAAATTTAAAGAGACTCTGAACTCAACCTAAAATTAAGCCATATATACACACTGTTGATCATAATTAGGTAAAGAGCGGCTACTAAACATCGCTCAAGCTTTAATTATTTCTCCAATGGATATCAATTTGAGTAAAAGATTTGAAAATTATAGCTAACTACAATACGACTTTGCTAAAACATATGACTATGGAATTCCGACAAACTGTTTTGCATCTTATGTGAACTGTCTACTATTATTATTACTACTCATTGCTATGGTATTTTGGGGGATTTTTAAATTACTTTTGTTGGGACGGCCTCTTAAAGCAGAACGATGCCTTCAGAATCTCTAAAGCAGCCGGAGAGAATCCATCCAGTCAAAACCTGGTAGAATGCTCCAGAACATCGATATGGCATGCTATGACTGGACAATTGTATAACTTTCTCACCTGAGGATTGACTCAGTTACAGTGATGTTATAGACAATAGTAAAGACTATAAATACCTCTGTTTTTCTGTAAATAATCCCAATAATCGCTTCCTTTGCTTCTTCCTTTTTTTCATATGCGACTGTGGGATTCTAAACGTTCGAGTACGGTTAGTTGTATATCGTATTCTGCCGTATTCAAATGGAGGACATAAAAATTATATATAAATATATTTCTGTAGTGAATGAGGAAATAACAATCTAACTAACTATAATGGTAATCAAATTTGTTTCACATTATGCAATCATCCGATTTAGACACTTGTTTCAACCGAAAACGCGTAGGAGGAACTGTGAAATTACTAGGTACTTATAACTGGCAAAATGAATCGTAACATACAAAATTCATAGGCATATATGTATACATATACTTGTCCTGTGACGTAGGCAAAGAAATGTATGCTGGGACAATGACTGAGTGCATAGTCGGTTCACTTCAATAATATGCTTTATTTATAGTCTCTCACCTAATGTTTTGCCTTGAGAGGCATGTATACACACATATTCAGTGTTGTAGAGAACGAGAACACAAGTGGGGACAATCAGATGTATTCGAATACAGAATTACAGAAAATCCTATTAAAATTTGAGAACCTTATAGTAAATACTTAATTTGCAAAATGTTAATGTCTCAAACTTGACTGTTCCTTTTGCAAATATGAGTTAATCCCCTCAAACTTCATTGTTCTCTCATTTCCACACCAATTATTCTTTGTTCTCATTCTCTTTTTTTTAATCTTCATAACCTTTTGCCGTCAGATATCTCACTTTCGATTGATGTTACATACTACTTATATTTGTCAACATCAGTAGCACACACCACAGTATGTATAAACTCGCTCAGTCTATTAATTGTCCAAATGTTTGAATGTTTTACTATTTTAAATATTACCCATTTAGTGAATACTACCATGACTTAATTGTTGAATTCATAGAGTATTTAAATTTCAAGAAGGTTTTAGTTCATTAATAACTTTATTGAATCATCAATCAATCGATCAATTATAAAATAACTCGAATCTTAACTTCTGAGATTTACAGTTATGATCATGATTTTTTTGTGTTTTACAAAAATCGATATTATTTAATAAAGAAATTTTATCATCGATCATTTTGGCTAAAGTTGTCTGTCTTATTTATAATGTTCCAGTAATGTATTATATATTCAGTACTTTCCATTAAATTTTTTTTCCGTTCATTTAGTCAATGAGTAATGTAAATTAGAATGTAATTCTCATTAAAATTTTCATTTTAATCAAATGAAACAATCTACAATTATGTGTTATGAAGATGTCAGTGTAGAGCAACACAATATGTAAGATAAGAAATATAAACTTGTTGAAAGGTAGAGGGGTGAAATGAATGATCTTATAGGACTGTTATCTAACTTTATATGATCGTACTAAAGTGGTTCTGGATTCAAATCTCGTGGGGCGGGATAGTAGATGCGCCCTGATGAGGAGTCCCATACTAGGACGAAACAATCGTTCAGTGCTTCGAGGTTTTCCATGGTTGTCTAGCTTCAATCGACTCATGAATTCAACTATAAATTTACTAAAACATTCACCAAACCCCTTCTGATAATAAAATGGCATTAACAAGATTTATCTATCCTATTTAACCTCGTACACATTCATGAACTTAACTTGACGTTGGTGAATAACGGAATAAAATAAATCAAATATGCAAATGATTTTTGGACATATATATATTTCTTACATCCATTAAATGTAGACACACAATAAGAGGAAAGAATCTGATCGAAAAAAGTAAACTTGTCAACTCATTTTTATCATTCATGAATCAATATTTCTAGTCATATGGGAAAACAAATTAACAATATATAATCAAGAGAGTAAGTGATATATATATATATATATATATATATATATATATATATACACGTACTCATATATAAGCAATCACGATTACAGGCGAATCACGTACGTGGTCAAACATGTACAATATCTGTAGAAAAAAAGATGAATTGGTCTATTTAAATATTGAATTAATAATCTACGTAGGCATGATATGTATGGACGAAATCGCCATCCAGTGCTTCCAGGTTTTTCATGGTGGTCTTCAATTGACTCATGATCCAAGTATTGAAATTATTATAAAATCCATAAAATCCCCCTGTGATATTAATTAACTTACGCTCACTAGTGACTGGCTTCAAGAGGTATTTCCTGGAGTTTTAGTGAGAAGCAGTGGCCAGTGATGTTCAACCAGGTCTGTTGTGAGATAGTAACTCACTGAAGACAATGGTGAATGTATAGCTCAATCTCGTGGATTAGTTGAAGTTAGACATAATCACCACTGGATGGCGGCCACGTCAGTCGTCTAGAGGTTAGGCGTTCGCGCGCGAGACCGACAGGTCCTGAGTTCGAATCTCGTGAGGTGGGATCGTGGAGGAGCGCTGCTGAGGATTCCTTTACTAGAACGAAACGGACGTCTAGTGCTTCCAGGTTTTTCAGGGTGGTCTAGTTTCAATCGACTCCTGATCTCAAGTATTAAAAAAATATCTATTACTAAATGTTACAATCTAATCAAAATTACACCTCATTATATACAGTTAAATATTTATTCAATAAGCCGTTGAATGTAACACATTACATGAATATTGAAAAAAAAGATGGCACATAAAAGAAGAAACCCCCACTAACTCCTCAATTTTACTGTGTTTTTTCATTTTTGAAAATTGTTTAGATTGAATTTCGTTGCAGCTAGAGAAGGTCAATTGCCTACATTGTTAGCAACAATACATGTTGAACACTTAACACCAGTACCAGCTATATTATTAAATTGTATTTTAAGTTTAATAATGCTTATTGTATCAGATTTATTTACATTGATTAATTATGTATCATTCGTTCAATGGTTATCTGTTGCTGCTAGTATATTTGGTATGATGTTTTATTAATTATATAATTATATTTAACTAGTATATAATTAATTAATTCATTGATTATGTTGGTAATGTATAGAATGATTAATTTTCTAATGAAACATAGATGGTAACTAGTAGTGGAATAAAGGATGAAAGCTTCATTCTGGTTAGGATTCAACACAAACAATACAAAAATGAATTATACGTGGTGTTTTATATACAAAGATGGATTATTGAAGTAAGCGGTACAGAGTTTGAATCCCAGGGTGAACATCAACTCTGAAATATAGGTACATCCAGCTGACGAGTCTCAAATGGGACGAAACGCGCATCATCCATTCCACTACCAGTCATTGTCCACCTTTGTATATAATGCTTGTGAATCAAGGCTTTATCGAGGCAATACTCACAGTATGTACATATGCCAATAAGAGACTGATCAATTCCAATCCTAAGTAACAATAGGAAGATACAAGTAAACAACACCAAGTGAATTTATACATGTTGTTTGTTTTAAATTTACCTATGGTCGGTGTTTAGAATATTTTCTTTTAAATGTATAAACAATGTAAATAAACTGGATTATTAGCTATGAACTATTAATATTGATTATTTGGATAAACAGTGACTTTATCTATCTACTGTATAACATTTTGTAAATTATTTATAAATTACTAAACATTGCATTATTGCCTGGTAGACAGTATAACTCTCTATTCGTATATATACATATATATATATATATATATATATATATATATATATCTGGGTTCGACTCCTGGTGGGGTCGTGGGTTAGTACTGTCATGAAGTTCTACACTAGGACGAAACAGTTGTTCTATACTCCTTCGTCTACAATTTTAAATGGAACCTAAAAAGTAAATCAATTCCTTAAAGAACACCTATAAACTAATTAATATTTTCCAAGAATAATATCATTAGTTTTTGATTGAGATCATGAACCGATTGATGCTTGACCAATGGTTTAGTATCGGTTTACAGCGGATTTTAGTAAAGACTTGATAACTGAGTGATTACAACAAATTACTAAAAAGTTCCTTTATTTGTGATTGCAGTAATTAAATGGTTGCTGTAGCGTGTACAAACTACCGTGATGAGCTTGTCTTTCGATGTTATTTATGTTGGAGGGAAAACCTCCGAACCTCTTTCTAACCTTGACAAGTTTTTGAACCGTGTAAAAAAAAGTGTATCCACTTTAATTCTTTAGCGTTATATAAAGTATCTTTACTTCATACTAGCTGCTTTCTGATTGGCCAATATTTCTCAAGGTCACTTAAGGTTCGTTCAAAGGTTGTCCATAAATTATAGTCTCGCCAAAATAATTTAATCAATCAGAAAAATATGTCAATGAATAAATACTAAGGTACCATTCTAGGGTCTATAAAGAAATTCCAATATTTATTGTTTATTAATAGCTAAAAACACAATATAGGCTGCAATAAAGTTAGACTGAATCAGTATTGTGATTTTGGGAAAATACAATTTGACTAGTTACTTGTTTTACGATGAATAAAATCTAACGATTAAGCAAAAATTTAACTGAATAAATGATCAGTATAGAGTTGTGAAGATGATTAAGTTTTTGAATTGACATCATGAATCGATTAATGTTAGACTACCATTGATAAACCTAGAAACAATGATGGTCTAACATCAATCGATTCATGATCTTAATCAAAAAATGGTATAAATTATGTTCACATACTGTTAGAGATTACTTTATCTCAAAACAAAAAAACAAACGAATTCCTCCGTGAATTAGTTAGTTATTCATGGTCTTTATATTCAAAGAAGAATTACATTCTTAGAAAAGAAAAAATACTTCAAAAAATTGTAATATTTGCAAATTAGAAAGGTCATTCAATAAAGGTCAGTAAATTGTTCAGTCACAGTAAGATAATAGTACTATTGCAAAATTGAAAATAATTTTGTCAACTGAGATAATAATAATAATATTGTTGTGTGAATATAATATGTAATAAGGGGGGTGTTATCAAGGTAGTTACGGTCAACAAATTGGGAATGATGGATATGAAGATTAAGATATAGATAATGACAAATAATAATAATAAGGAAAAATAAATAAAAATGAAGGAAGGAAGGAAGGGGTAAGAGGTTTATAATATTCTTCTTTTTTGAATATTCTATGGGGATTTTTAAATTGCTGAAATTTTAAATAAATTGAGCATTGGATAGATGGTTATAGGTAAATTAAGATATCTGTAATATTCAAATGAGTAGAAAAATGAGATTTTCTGACGTTTCGTAACTCAGTATAAGTCACTTCTTCAGAGAATGAATAACCGAATCTGGTTACTTATTCTCTGAGGAAATAGCTTACGAAACGTTAGAAGATCTAATTTTCCTATTCATTGGGATATTACAAATATATAATTTATTCATATTCGACAAATTGAGATAATCCCATGAGTGGATAGGTAAACTCAGGTACACAAAAAGAACGAATTGTGTTCAGTACGTAAGGTTAAATCAAATATTTATCTAAATGACTTACATACTAAATGAAAAGATCTATCATATATAGATCTTTAATTTCCATGAATGTAAAACTGATTTTGTTTCTTGTTAAACAGAAGTAAACATATTTCTTAGTAACATTTAATAGGGAATCAATTGTAGAATCTCGAATAGAAGTCTCATTCTATTATGTAATCATCACATTTCTTTTTTTCTAAAATATTCTACAAATGATAATTGAATTCAAATAGTTTGTTTAAATAAATATTGTTCTTATGTACATATATATCGATCAATTTTTAAAAAAAATCTTTTTTTTTTCTTATTTTTACATTTTTAGCAATGTTATATCTTCGTCGTAGTCAACCTGATATTCTTAGACCTATTCGTTTACCATTAATAATTCCTATTACATTCTTAATTGTTTGTAGTTTCTTGTTAATTCTTCCAATGTTTCATAGACCGAATGAATTATTTATTGGTATAATTATAATTTTATCTGGTATACCAATTTATTTACTTGGTATAGGATGGAAACAAAAATCTAATTTATTTATACAGAAATATAGTAAGTATAATCAATTAAAATTTAATCAGAAATACTCTATTTTTATTCATTTATGTTAAATTGATGATGATAAGTTTGATATTATGACACTTAATTATGCCTTGTGTGGCAGTAGGTTGAAAGAAAACGATGAGATGCTAAGTCAATATGTGATGTCAGTCTATGAAGTCATTGAATGATGCCATATCTGTTAGTGAAGACTTATCTGGTTGTGATCACTTTAATTGTCATAACTAATGGTTCGAGATTGTAGGTATCAATGTCAAGATTGGACTTGATAGTATCAAAGAAAAATTGGATATTGGGTAGAAAGTTAATAATAATAATAATAATAATAATAATAATAATAATAATAATAATAATAATAATAATCAATGTTGTAAAACTTCTGAAAAAGAACCCACATTTTATACATATATTTTCATCTTTTTGTTTTAAAATATTCTTACTCTACCCGCAACCCAATAGATTATATTACTATCCAATGTCAGAAATCAATGCATGTAGTTTACCCGGAATAACACTACACTGAAGTGTGTAGATGTATGCATTATTACAGAAAGAAAAGAATCAAAACACTATACAATTGCATTACTTACTACAATTCAATAGTTCAAATGAAATGAAGTGAAATTTAATGTTCTCCACTTCTATTACAACAACTACTACTATTACTCACGCTGGTACTACTCACACTGCTACTACCCACACTATATATACCCACATTATATATAATTTTAGTGGAGGATTATCAAATATTCAAGAAAATAAATCAATTATTCTTGTGCTCTATTTGTTCATTTTCTATTATTGAGTTTAAACTTTGCAATGAATTTATTAATCTAGTTGTTTTTAAGAAGAACTAAAACAAAAATTTGAACAGAATATAATGAATCCATTGTTGTTTTTTGATACGTTCTCTTCATCTGTTAATTGTTTATGATAAAAAGATATGAAAGAAAAGTTTTTACTTTTAAGTTGGTTTTGAAACGCGGTTTTAGGAGACTAGGAATAACATTTGGTAAACTTGAATCATTACTACTGGTGGAGGATGAGGATAAAGGAGGATGGTTGATAATAGCAATAGAAGAAATATTAGTTGGTGAAGAAAGGATTTAATCGTCAATCAATTGACCTACTGTGGTGTTAGTGGTATGTGATCTCCCAATTACCCACAGTGTAAGGATGTAAGTAGTTTTATCGATTTGGAAGCATGACTACAGCACTCAAGCGATAATTGGTTGACGCTGGTCACACGTGACCTTTTTGCGGATTGTTCTTATCAGTATCGTAAGATTAGATATAGTGTATTCATGGGCAAATTTTTCTGATCCCTTCTGCTGTCGTGGACAGACAGTGTTGTTGCAGGTGCCAGGTCATCAGTACGACCGTGCCTTCAGACCATCGGTTTCTACTTTTTGTCTTATTGCTCTCTAACAGACGTTGAACCAAGGCGCTGAATGTTCCAGAAAATATAGATTATATCAATGACATACTGATTTATATTATATGTGTATTATCAAGAATAATGTGATAATAATAATCATATTGAAAATCAATCGCCAGAAAATTCAAATTTTCAGTCCACAGATAGAATTCTCGATCATCATGAGTATTATTATACAAATAATTTATCATTAGTTATGTCATAAGAAGATAATTAGTCACATAGCTTAACAGAAATAAATGTTAAAATATGGTTAATTAAAACATGAAAAAGAAATTTACAAAATCAATAAAAAAATTAACTTCAAAGAAAAAAGAACACAAAAATATAAATCCTAAAAACAATAACAATTAAAGGTTACGAAAAAAATCAGTGGAGTGATGCGTGATCGTGTAGACCGATTGATATGACGACGTTGTGGTGTCAACAGGAGACGTGCGATATGTTATCGATGGTGAGGTGTGTTGAGGCGACGATGATTTTCGATCGGTCGCGTACAAACCGACTCGATCATCATATCCATACGACTTGAACTCGGGAACAGCCGGTGGTGAGAGTCAGTCGGGTAGGCAGTGGGAGTGTTTGTGTGTGTGTATGAGAGAGAGAGAGAGTCATGTTGCACAGTGTGGTGTAGTGTGTAGTCGGTGAGCTGGCATGTGTGTAAAAGCGACACTCGACGGGGATGGGATTCGAACCCACGCGGGGAAACCCCAATGGATTAGCAGTCCATCGCCTTAACCACTCGGCCACCCCGTCCTGGAGGCATGCCACCATTCCACACCGCTACTACAAACACAAACGCCCACTAATACCGACACACTGAAACTCACACTACACACACACACACACATCCTATCGCTGATACAAGTCAACACCAACAACACATTGCACTCATCTCTTCATCAAAATACAACTCAATTCTCTAGCCAATCCATACTCCATACATTCTCCAAACCGAACACTCCATAAACTCACTCACTCACTCCCCACACATGTGCATTCTCATCCACGTTGTGGTGTGGATCACCCTACATGAAAATCGAGTCGTCTGACCAGCACAATGCACGGATTGAATGTGACCGACGCAGAACCGTCGTGAAGACAACGTAGCACTGAGTCGCAGTGAATCGGTCATGCTATTGTAGGCTGGGACGGACGAATAATTGATGCAACATCTGATAGATTGACTGGCTGACTGATTGTCTGGTGTGCTGACTTGGTGGCTAGCCCACCAATCGACTGTCCGACTGATTATTGACCGATAGACAATCGGATAATCGGACACGTGGACAAATGGATCAAGTGGATATGGGAGAGACAGAGATTTTCACTGAACAAGATGACGAGCAATAAACACTAAGTGACAAATAAGCGAAGGAACGATTGAGCAAACGGACGGACGTTAGGATGGATATGTGGGTGGGTGGGTGGTTGGTTGGTTGGTGTAGCTATTCAGATAATCAGGCGGTGATGCAATCACACACAGATGCATGCACAGAATCACGGTTAGATGGATGCCTCGACTCGGTCGTTCAATGACTCATCGCTGTGGATGTTTCGGTGTTCAGACGTGAACTGTCGGTTGGTGGGAGTGGATGGATTATTGAGGCGGTTGTAACATTTGATGATCCAGTTGGTCAATGATACGATGGCTGTGATTGTCGCAACTCAGTGGAGTGATGCGTGATCGTGTAGACCGATTGATATGACGACGTTGTGGTGTCAACAGGAGACGTGCGATATGTTATCGATGGTGAGGTGTGTTGAGGCGACGATGATTTTCGATCGGTCGCGTACAAACCGACTCGATCATCATATCCATACGACTTGAACTCGGGAACAGCCGGTGGTGAGAGTCAGTCGGGTAGGCAGTGGGAGTGTTTGTGTGTGTGTATGAGAGAGAGAGAGAGTCATGTTGCACAGTGTGGTGTAGTGTGTAGTCGGTGAGCTGGCATGTGTGTAAAAGCGACACTCGACGGGGATGGGATTCGAACCCACGCGGGGAAACCCCAATGGATTAGCAGTCCATCGCCTTAACCACTCGGCCACCCCGTCCTGGAGGCATGCCACCATTCCACACCGCTACTACAAACACAAACGCCCACTAATACCGACACACTGAAACTCACACTACACACACACACACACACATCCTATCGCTGATACAAGTCAACACCAACAACACATTGCACTCATCTCTTCATCAAAATACAACTCAATTCTCTAGCCAATCCATACTCCATACATTCTCCAAACCGAACACTCCATAAACTCACTCACTCACTCCCCACACATGTGCATTCTCATCCACGTTGTGGTGTGGATCACCCTACATGAAAATCGAGTCGTCTGACCAGCACAATGCACGGATTGAATGTGACCGACGCAGAACCGTCGTGAAGACAACGTAGCACTGAGTCGCAGTGAATCGGTCATGCTATTGTAGGCTGGGACGGACGAATAATTGATGCAACATCTGATAGATTGACTGGCTGACTGATTGTCTGGTGTGCTGACTTGGTGGCTAGCCCACCAATCGACTGTCCGACTGATTATTGACCGATAGACAATCGGATAATCGGACACGTGGACAAATGGATCAAGTGGATATGGGAGAGACCGAGATTTCCACAGAACAAGATGACGAGCAATAAACACTAAGTGACAAATAAGCGAAGGAACGATTGAGCAAACGGACGGACGTTAGGATGGATATGTGGGTGGGTGGGTGGTTGGTTGGTTGGTGTAGCTATTCAGATAATCAGGCGGTGATGCAATCACACACAGATGCATGCACAGAATCACGGTTAGATGGATGCCTCGACTCGGTCGTTCAATGACTCATCGCTGTGGATGTTTCGGTGTTCAGACGTGAACTGTCGGTTGGTGGGAGTGGATGGATTATTGAGGCGGTTGTAACATTTGATGATCCAGTTGGTCAATGATACGATGGCTGTGATTGTCGCAACTCAGTGGAGTGATGCGTGATCGTGTAGACCGATTGATATGACGACGTTGTGGTGTCAACAGGAGACGTGCGATATGTTATCGATGGTGAGGTGTGTTGAGGCGACGATGATTTTCGATCGGTCGCGTACAAACCGACTCGATCATCATATCCATACGACTTGAACTCGGGAACAGCCGGTGGTGAGAGTCAGTCGGGTAGGCAGTGGGAGTGTGTGTGTGTGAGAGAGAGAGAGAGAGTCATGTTGCACAGTGTGGTGTAGTGTGTAGTCGGTGAGTTGGCATGTGTGTAAAAGCGACACTCGACGGGGATGGGATTCGAACCCACGCGGGGAAACCCCAATGGATTAGCAGTCCATCGCCTTAACCACTCGGCCACCCCGTCCTGGAGGCATGCCACCATTCCACACCGCTACTACAAACACAAACGCCCACTAATACCGACACACTGAAACTCACACTACACACACACACACACATCCTATCGCTGATACAAGTCAACACCAACAACACATTGCACTCATCTCTTCATCAAAATACAACTCAATTCTCTAGCCAATCCATACTCCATACATTCTCCAAACCGAACACTCCATAAACTCACTCACTCACTCCCCACACATGTGCATTCTCATCCACGTTGTGGTGTGGATCACCCTACATGAAAATCGAGTCGTCTGACCAGCACAATGCACGGATTGAATGTGACCGACGCAGAACCGTCGTGAAGACAACGTAGCACTGAGTCGCAGTGAATCGGTCATGCTATTGTAGGCTGGGACGGACGAATAATTGGTGCAACATCTGATAGATTGACTGGCTGACTGATTGTCTGGTGTGCTGACTTGGTGGCTAGCCCACCAATCGACTGTCCGACTGATTATTGACCGATAGACAATCGGATAATCGGACACGTGGACAAATGGATCAAGTGGATATGGGAGAGACCGAGATTTCCACAGAACAAGATGACGAGCAATAAACACTAAGTGACAAATAAGCGAAGGAACGATTGAGCAAACGGACGGACGTTAGGATGGATATGTGGGTGGGTGGGTGGTTGGTTGGTTGGTGTAGCTATTCAGATAATCAGGCGGTGATGCAATC